CCATTTACCATGATATAAATCAACATCATTCCTCAATAAAATTCCCAAGTTTTTTAATGACTCAATTAAATGCATTCCATCCATAACATCACAGGTTTTAGCTTGTAATAACTGAGTAACAGGAAGTGTTAAATCTAAAATATTTCTACTAATGACAAGGCTAACAATAAATCTGAAGGTGGAAATCAATGCTAGGAAAGAAGAAGCTTTAGAAGATGTTTCTGGATTACACACATGACCAGCATTATGGCTCATTTCAGTTAAAGTATGAAAAATTGGAAGGAATAATTCTTGAAATATATCTAGACCATCTATTCGCTCAATCCATCGAGTTCGACAAACATCCTTTAACTTTGATTTACCTGAATGTGGCAATAGTCTTCAACTGCTTTTGAAAGTAACATTTGCCGTCCATCAGAGAGATTGAAAAAGTAAGAAAGTTCTTTAATTTGACTAAAAACATTTCTGACAAAGGGGACAGAACATGAATTACATATTGCAAGATTTAACCTATGGCTGTAACAGTGGGTGTAGATTGCTTTAGAATTCAAACGAAGAATGCGTGCAGAAAGACCATTGATATGCCCTGCAACAGCCCCAGCTCCATCATATCCCTGACCTCTGCAATCCTCAATGCTTAATTTTAGTTCTGTTAATGCACTGTGAATTAATTTCTCAAGACTTTCCCTGATAAACCCCATTTGCAGTGCAAAACCTCACAAAATCTTCTCTAACATTCCTATTGCTATCTACAAAACGAATCACAAGAGAAAGCTGCTCTTTGTTTGCAGAATCTGCTGCTTCATCAGCAATTATACTAAAAAATTTATTTATTTTTATTTCACTAGTTATTTTTTCAGTGATAACCTGTCCACAAGCAGCAATTAGGTCATTTTGAGTAGTCTTTGAAATATAAGAAGCATTCTTTGCACAGTTTTTCAAATGATCAGCTAAAACTGTGTCACCAGCCCAAACACGAAAATTTAACAATTCAACATAGCTACCAACACCACCTTTTGAGTAAGAACCAACCTCCGGATGATATGAAGAATCATCACGGTGCCCTCTTAATGCTAACCCAAGTCTACCACGAAGTTTAATAGTATCAATTATTGATACAAGTTTTTCCCTATTTTGCCTGATGACTTGCTGTTTGTGCTCATCAATCAACACCTCAATCTGCAGTCCTTCTCCTGATGCCTGACCAACTAATGACAAATATTTATTACGTGTGCTTTCGTGCAAACCTGCTCTGGTGAGAGCCTTAGAACTCAAACCAATATGGCGTTTGAAGCAAGCTTTAGCATCAGGCCAATATGTCATTGGTTCACTAAAAAGGTTTTTAATTTTTGTATTTTTATTCGAAACTGATCACCAAACAAAACACAAGGCAGACAAAAAGCACCATCCAAAGAAGGGGAGTAACACAACCAAGAATAATCTTCCAGCCACGAATAAAGAAAAGATCGACCATCAGCTGATTTAGGAAATGGGTAGGATCTATTCGGTTTAAAAACATTGTGAATGAGCTGGAGCTTTTGAAAATCATTCATATTTCTAGCTTTTTCTCTAAAATATCTCACATCATTTGGATATTGCTGTGAAAAATGTAATGAAAATGATTGCAAAAGTTCTTGTTTTGGGTTATGTATTAAACCAAGACTAGTGATGGCAGGCACCTTTTGTGTTGATTGTGTTTGTGTAGTACTAAATAATTTGGGTAAAATAAATTGTTTAGCCTTATTACTTGCTGGGGTTGAAACTGGTTGAAAAAAATTAGAAATGTTAACAGTAGAAGACTCTCCTTTCAACTTTGCCTGAACATGAGGAATTTTCTTGTTAGCTTTTCTAACAAAGCAGAAGCCTTTCTTTTAGTTTTACTGATAGGTTTGAAAATAAGAGGTGCAAAGTGATTTGGCTTAAAGACTTTACTAGAAGTCAATAGAGTTGTAGAACAAAACAAGAGGTATAAATAGTTATATTGAGTAGGTGGTGTTGGTAAAGGAAGACGAGGTGAAATAATTTGGTTGAATAACAACTTAAAAGAAACTTCTCCACAATCTGGATGCATCAAAGAAATTTTAATGATCATTCGGAATATAAATCTTTGTACGAAATAGAAACAAGATTGTTCGCCATCGATATGTATATTTTACTGACATTTTGATTGACATGTTTTTCTTCTATTATGCATTTATAATTACTACTCTGATCTTTCTTACACTCCCCAGGGTTGACATAACAAAATGTTGTCAACAAACAAAACAAAAAAAACAAAACTATTTTTAGCTAAGAATGTACAGTTATTTAGAACTTGTTTGTATTCTGCAATCTTCGCAATTGTCCTGTTATTCCCGCGCTGCGTTGTGGTCGATCAGTTGGACGAAGGACTTCTTCCTTTTCGCCTTTCTTATCGTTTTCTACTCTTTCGTTAATGTCTTCTTCCTGATGAACCTCAATTGGAATAAGTTGCCTGATAGAACGCTGCAACAAGTGTGAATGACTAGAGTCTCCACGAAGGACTCTGACTTGTGCAGCTCGTGTAATTCCATCGCCACCTTGTAACAATTGTTCAACCTTCGCCACCTTCCAAAAGATACGTTTTGTTTGATCGTTGCGAATAATGACGATATCTCCAACTGCTATTTCGGGATTTTGATTACCTCTTGATTTTGAAGTGTATTGCTCTCGTAAGGCTAAAAGATACTCGTTTCTCCATTGAAGAGTAAAACGTTGCAGTAAATTTTTGTGATGTTTCGCCTTTCTCGTCAAAGATTGATAAGTGCTCTGAATTTCAAAGTGCTCACTGTTTGGCATGGTCGTTATTCGTCTTCCATACACCAAGTGCGACGGGCTTAGCGGAAGAGATACAGCTTCTTCATCGTCGTACACGTAGGTTAGGGGTCGTGCATTTATTACGCCCTCGATTTCAACCACAATAGTATGCAACTCGTCGTAGGTTAGATTGGTTCTACCAACTACCTTTCGCAACGGACGTTTCACGCTTCGAATCAAACGTTCCCAGAAGCCTCCCCACCAAGGGGCCTTTTCGACGATAAATTGCCATGTAATCTGATGGTTTGCAAGATAGCGTAACACTTCCTCAGAACGACATAACTTGCGAATTTCTAAGCATGCAGCTCGGAAAGTCTTAGCATTATCGGATATAAGAAGAGCTGGCAGTGCTCGTCGACTAGCGTATCTGCGGAACGCGCGGAGAAAGGCTGGAACGCTTAAGGAAGGAGTGAGCTCCAGATGAATGGCTCTAGTAGACGCACACGTAAACAATAGAATATACACCTTTGTTGGATTATCCGACAAATTATTCCTTTCACAACTCTCTCGTACGAACAAAGGTCCGGCAAAGTCCAAACCTACGTTTGTGAAAGGGGGATCATCCGACACTCTGCTAACAGGAAGATCTGGAGGAGGCGTTCCCCCATAAGGAAGACCTTCGGCTTTACGACAAACGACACATTTCCTGACTATTTTCTTTACTGCTTCTCGACCACGGATTATCCAAAAATGCTCTCTAATGGTTGTTAGTGTATCACGAATCCCGCTGTGCTTCACATTGTGGTGAACCTCGCATATTAATAACTCCACAAATCTTGATTCCTTTGGAAGCAATACAGGATTTTTGCTCTCCAGATTCAGCAATGAATTCTTCAGTCTCCCACGGCACCGCAGCACGTGATCACCGTCGAGAAATAGCCCAAATTGTTTAACGTAAATGGGTATTGAAGAATTCATATTCTTTGACAAAAGGAATAGTATTTCCTTTTCAAAGGATAGTTGTTGAATAGACCTTATCCACAGCAGCTGCGTTCCTTATTTCGTCTGAGCTTAGTTCTTCTGAGGTTGTGAGTTTGTTTGTTGTTCGCTCGCACCGTGGCATCTTCTTTAATATGTTGATGAATCTCATTACATAAGCAGTTGTTCGAAGAAGTTTCTTCATGGAGCTATAACGAGTAGTGTCGATTGCTTTGTTAAGATCTGGCATGGCTCGTTGTTCGATTTCATTCGAAACTAGTGATCTTACGACATTCGGATGCTCTTTCACAATTTCCCTCAGAACTTCGTCACTTTGTGAGAGGTTGCCAACTGGACGTTTTGGCCACTCTTCTTCGCCCTTGCCAAGAATTTGGGTCCATTGAACCATAAGGAAGAATTCGAAAGTAGTTGCCCAGAAATACCTCGTGAGGGTAAATCTGCAGGATTAAGTGATCCAGGACAAAAGTTCCAAGATTCCGTCAACGAAATACTTCGAATCTTGTTCACTCGATGCTGCACGAATGGTTTCCATGCTCGATCGTTTCGTATCCAGTGGAGTGCTGTCATCGAATCAACCCAATAAAAAACTTCCAGACTCCACTTGAGTGCCTTTAACAAAGACTCTACTAACTTCGCTAGTACAGTCGCTGCCACCAGCTCTAAACGGGAATCGTTTGCTTTTCACTGGTGCGACCTTTGTCTTTGAAGCGATTAATTTCACGTCGATGGTACCATTCTCATAGACTGTTCTTACATAGACAACAGCACCAATTGCACTTTCAGATGCATCACTGAATCCATGAACTTGTGTAGTAAGGTATTTCGGTTGGAGTAGATAATAGCACCTCGGTACACGAACATCATTTAGAAACTTTAACTCTGACAATAAAACGTTCCACTGTTCACGTAGATTGCCATGCAGTTCACAGTCCCATCCCAATCTATCCAAGCACATGATTTGAAACAGAATCTTGAGCCTTATCGTAAAAGGACAAGAATCCAAGGGGATCGAAGATTTTAGATGACCATTTCAACAACGATCGCTTTGTGACAGGTAAAGAATTGGCGTACTCGATTATTTCAGTCAAATTGAATAGAAATGTGTCCTCCACCGTATCCCACACCATTCCTAGTACTTTGACTTGAGTGGGTTCCGTGAGCAGTGACTCTTTGCAATTGTCGACTTTGTAAAGGACTGATCATCTTGAGTAACGCTTGATTTGTCACTAATCAAGCTCAAATTCTTTACCTTCTAACGCTTCGATAGACTTCACTACGTTACTGGAATTCGAGTTCCATTTTCGCAAGTTGAATCCACCCTTGGCCATCAACTGCTTTGTTCCTTTGTATATTTGCAAAGCGGTTTCATCGGTTTCAGCACCGGACACAAAATCATCGACATACAGAGAATTTTTCAAGTGTTCAACAGTTTCTGGCTCCTGCTTCTCGTGTGTCTTCAAATGATGGTTGATAGTAGCTCCTAGAATTGCTGGCGAAGGTCGTAGACCAAAACCCAATCGACAAAACCTTAGCTTTAATACTTCTGAATGAGGATCCCTAGCGTCCCTTAGCCACAAAAAACGAAGCATGTCTCTATCTTCCTTGTCAATTCCAATCATTAAGAATGCCTTCTCAATGTCAGCAACTAGCCCAATCTTGTTTTGTCGAAATTTGACGAGCAAATCAAAGATTTGTGGAATGAGGTTCGGCCCGGTCAGTAAGCAATCGTTTAGTGAAAATTTGCGCAAGTTCGTCGTAGCAGATCCATCATATACAACGCGTAGCTTCGTAGTAACCTTATCCTTTCGTATGACACAATGATGGGGAAGATAGTGAATTTTACCACAATCCTTATCAGATGCCGGAACCCTTTCGACTATTCCTGCTGCCAATTGTTCAGTAATACCATTATTGTATTCTTCAAGATTTTGTGGATCCTTTAGCAGTTTTCGATGCAATGATCTCAATCTATTATGACAGAGTTCGTAATCGTCATCAATTTGCACATGATCATTTTTCCACGGCAGACCAACTTCGTAGCGTGTTCCAGTGAATTGAATATTTCGCACAAAATCTTGTTCCTCGGTTGAGTTCTCTGAGTCAAAGGAGTCAATGCCAACGTTCTCAGTTTCCCCAAAACGCTTCAATGATATTGTTAGCTCATCCCTATCGGTTACGACAGTAGAATTATCAAGGCAGTCGGCTGCTAAAATGAGGCTGTTCAGAGTATGTTCGTCTGATTTTTGTGATGACCATCCAGACAAAAGCCATCCCAATTTGCTGCTCATCGCTGTTGGACCATTTTCTCCTCGTACGACATCACCTGTGACTACGTCCCAATAATGATCAGCTCCTATCAAGATGTCGATTGAATCACAGCTACCATTGTTATCGGAAGAATCAAAGTCTGCAAGTTCTAAACCATGGAGATGTGGATAATCGTCTATATTTATCCTTGTAGGAAGTGGTGCACATATTGTTGGAAATGCGATTGCTTTAATCTCTACTACCTCACCTCCACTCTTGTTTGCAATGCTCACCTTGAACACTTCGCAGCTTTTTCGTTTACTCTTGCTTTGGCCAAAGGTATTTAATTGAAGTGTCTCCTTACCAATTGAATTTAACCTTAACCGGCCTTGAAGTGACCTTCGAATGTAAGACCTTTGGCTTCCAGTGTCAAAGAGAATTCGTGCTGGAACCGATTTTGATCCGTTTGATACGAGAGCTCTGGCTGTCTGCAAAAGAACACTTCCCTTGACAGTTCGTGTGACAGCTGTTGTGGTTGGAGAGTTTACACCTTCTGATACCTTCTGTGGATAGGTGTTATCAATTGCTTTTTCATTTTGGACACCCTGACTGTTGGTAGCAGGATAGCTGCAAATAGATTGGTGATGCCTCCCGGAACAATGTCGACATTTTCTTGTGACTATACACTTGTTTGCTTGGTGTCCCTTTTTTAGACAAATAAAGCAACGGTTGGAGTCCCTTAGAATTTTAACTCGGGCTTCCCTTCCCTTTACCTCTTCACAAGATGCTGAATAATGTGATCCTTGACAGTATACGCATTTAACCTTGAAGCTATGGGCACCGTCTTTATCATTTTTCGTCACTACAAATGTTCCAGCTGTCGATGGCTTGTTGGGCTTATCTTTGTTCTGGGGTTTCAATTGAACGCGATGACTCGCTCATTTCACGTGCCTCAACTTCAAACTTTATGGTTTTGAGTAACTCTTCAATTTGCCAAACATCACCAGTAGCTTTTCGTGCTACCTGCAATCTTATTTCACTCGGTAGTTTGGACATAATAATTGGTATGAGCAGACTGCCGTACTGGTTTGCAGATACCCCAAGCGAATCAAGTCCTCGCACTTGAACACTTATTTGATCGAAAACATATCTCAATTGCCCAGTACGATTTTCAGAACATGCAGATATTTGTAGGATTTGATCCATATGTGCGGCAATGACCTGTTGGGTTCGACCAAATCTATCTTGCAGAATCGCAATTGCTGCGTCATAATTTGCGGATGTTAAGGTAAGTCCCTTTATCGAACGTGCTGCACTACCCTCAAGCAATGAGAATAGATAATTGAATTTGTTTACCTTAGACATACTCTCGTTGCTGTGAATCGTAGCATTGTATAAGTCCCAAAGGCGTTCCATTCTGTGATCTTTCCACTGAATTTTGGCAATTGAAGTTTGGGAAGCTTTGGCATCATTATCGCTGGTGTTGTTCTGACAGGGCATTCAAAATCGTAGAATTCGCATTTATCACTTCATTCGTAATCGTATCAATAGCATTCGTGTTCCTATAGACCGTATTCGTGTTCGTATAGACCGTATTCGTGTTCGTATTAACCGCATTCGTATTCGTGTTAACCGCATTCGTATTCGTGTTAACCGCATTCGTATTCGTGTTCACCGCATTCGTGTTCGTATTAACAGCATCCGCGTACGTATTATTCTCATCGTTGCTTATCGTTGTGTTACTCGTGCTTGCTGTTGCTACCACTAAAGGAATCTGTTCGACTTGTGGTGTAGGACTTTGCCTTCTTTTTATAGTTTCTTGACAAATCTCCGGTTTTCTTGCTCCTTCGATTTTACGTCTAGTGCTTAGAATTCTATCCGAGACGGCGGCTGCTTCTTCAATTTCGTGTTCAATATCCGTTACATCGCATATCCCAATGATTTCGTCGTTTATTTCGTCTAAGATCTTCATCTTACACTCAAGTTGTTCAGCGATGACATTACATCGTTCGATGTCTACTTCAGTGGCATCCAGAAGCTCGAGTGCTTCTTTTACAAGCCTTGTACAAACGCCACGATAACCGCCTCGTTTGGCGCGAAGTCGTTCAATATTATCCTTCGACATTTCTTGGTTTTCGAATGAAGCTGTTCTAGAATACCGTCGTATACGTACTTACCGGCCCCACGTTGGGCGCCATTTAATGATCATTCGGAATATAAATCTTTGTACGAAATAGAAACAAGATTGTTCGCCATCGATATGTATATTTTACTAACATTTTGATTGACATGGTTTTCTTCTATTATGCATTTATAATTACTACTCTGATCTTTCTTACAGAAATGATTCTATTAGTAACTGAGGAGAGAGCAAGTATACACAAAAAACTACCCCAAATTTTATCTCTACAGTTGCAAAGAGCTTCCATTTTAACAAGATCAAGCCCTGATAAACGTGAATCCACACTTTCAAAACAACAGGACATAGCCAAAACATTTTTTGCACTGACAGAGACCTTGTCACCATGCTTCTCTAAGGTGGAAGTGAATATTGGATGATAACAATAATAATTTGCATATATAAAAAGCTCTATAGATACCATAGCTCTCAAAGTGTGAATGAGAGCATTGCTTCCAACCAAGGCCAGAGAAGCAGAGCTGTATAGACAATTTTCTAGATGGTTCAGATCTAATAAAACAGCAGTCGAAAGATTTCTTGATTATTATAAGACTGCAACAATTTATGCAATGTCAACAAAGCGAGTTAAAAGCGATCATTTCAACAACAATGAAATGTCAACAAATCGGCAGTTTTGGTCTTAACGTGTCATAACAACTACGCAATTAGGCTTATATTCATTTCTACTTATCTTAATTTAACTAATTTTACCTTAGAGCAACCGATGGCTTCGTATTGTCGGCCTTCACATGATGAGGCAAATAGACTGTCTCAGCATTTACATCACGATACAAAGATCGTCCAATTAAAGGAAAATGCTCTTCAGGCATTAAGAAACGAGAAGAATTATATATACCACATAATTCCTCAAAGGTCTTAAGCAAAGCAACATCATAACTTTTTAAGTCAGAGAGAACCCGATCTAAAATACTGCTAGAGTTAGCCATGACGATCGATAAATATTCAAGCGCAATGAAGCAGACAAATATATTCCGACTAAGTTCGCTACAACAACCAATCAAATCCGAAGATTCGTCAACATCATATACCAAAAATAGATATATCCTGCAAAAAACTAACAATATTGACCAATCACAAGCTTTAAATTGGTATAGATCCTGCAAGAAATCTCCACAAATTACAGCTATATAGCTGGTTCGTCTGGGCAAATCAGAATCACAGAATGAACATAGATCCTGCAGATCCTGCACAACCCAGTCTCTTCCTTAAATTAACTCTATACGCTAATTGTGAAAATACCCTCAAATTGACTCTATAAGTCAATTTGAAACGTCCATTCAAAAAACAGGCCTGGTGACTTGCCTGCCTGGTCGCAACCACGCAACCCATCATTTACCGCAATCTACTATCCCGCGAAGTTTTGCATATCCTCAATCGCTTATTGTAAAGTGTATGCTCTTCTGATTGAATTTTTTTTTAAAATTCAATTTAAACTTTAATATTAAGTTGCGTGGTTCGCATTATTGCTGAAATGGAAGAAAACAATGGTAGTGGTAAGTAATTTTACACATTACACTTAAGTTATAAAATTACAAATACTGAAATACATAGGCCAATCCAGTGGCTAATTTATGTATTGAAGGCTATGTTAGCTTTTAGGAGACCTATACTTTGCTTGCTTTTTGAAAAGATAAACAAGAGTGCTTATCCATTCTCTTTTTGGTCATAAATGCATCTTAATTAGCAAACATCAACTCTAGTACACTATTTTACAGATAGAAATTACTATACAAAACTAACAATAGCATGCACATATGAGTGATATGATTTAGCTTAGTTAGCTACACCCGACTGACAGAAACAGTCCACAAGTTAAGGTAACCTTGAGCGAATATTGATTGTATAAAACAAATAAGCTTCAAGATTACAATGTTTTAAATACTAAGTAACTTAAGTTTGTCCAAAAGACTTATATTTTGAAAAAGAAAGTTATTTCAAGTTAACTTGAATAGCTGCCAGTATCATATTGCTGTGATCACCTGCAAAATACATGTCAATCTGATGTTGTACATATTTTTTCTTTGACAAGTTAAATTATAACAATTTACATATGTAAGTGTGTACAAGACTTTCCATCTGGCAAGTTAAACTGTAAACTGTTTACCATCAAAAAGAAGGGTATTTTCATGTTCAATGTAAAAATTATATAGTTGGACTAAAACCTTTGGCATTGTTACCTTGCTGTTCCTCAGTATGTTTTTCTCGATATCACATGCTCATTTATTTGTGAAGTTTGTTAATTAGTAATTACAATATTTTAATTTTTAAACATTATTTTTTATAGGTTTTGATGTACTAGAATTAGATGATACAGAATATGTTGATGTATCTTCCAAAAAATTTGTAGGTTCATCAAATATTTATTGCAAATGAAATACGAGAAGTGTTATAGTATATTAGAGTCATAATGATTGTGCCCAACAGTGATATAGCAATCTCAATAGTTTGGGGAGCTGGTATTCATTTGAGTGCTTGTTTTGCCATGCTAAGTTCTTAAAATAATTGTTTCTTCTGGATTAAAACATGCATTAATTTTTTACTTCATTGTTGGCCAAGGTTTCTTAGAGCTTACATATACAGAAACACAAAACAGCTCAGCAATATAAATAGCTTGTGCACCAACTTTCATTGATGCTTTCAACATGCCTAATTTTGCAGTGAGACTAAAAGTGGAATACCCAGCTTGTAAGTTGTGATCCTGCTCCATAAATTTTAGAGCATTATTATTTCATTTCTATTGAGATCTATTGTTTTAACTGTAAATGAGAACATAGGAGTTAACATAACTGGACTTAAGACGTGGGGTGAATACACCAGTGATTTTATGTAAATTTGCTGTATGTATGCAGCATATCCACTGTGTAAAGAATAGATTTCAAAAGAAATGGATATTGATAAGGTTTGAAATTTACATTGCAAGAGTAAAACTTGCAAGCTTGTTATGCTATGCTACCTCTGCTAACATTTGATTTGATGGTGATCAGTGCCATCCTGGACATTAATGAGGGGGTGCTATTTATTCATACATTCACTTGTGCCCACTTGGTTTCTTTGAAAGCAATTCATTTATAGAATTAAGCATTTTACTGTAAAAAAACACGTTCAGGCACAACTGAACTTATGAATAGTACACATTCCAACCAATTTGCATTGTCAAGACAACTCTGATGATTGCAATTTTGGAAAATATGCATCTGTGAGTCATTCTATTTGAAAATTAATCAGCATATTAATTTCACAAAAGAACAAAGTAAAACAGTATATAATAGTTTCCTTGATGTTTCCTTGATGTTTGAAATGATGACCTGTTGTTGTAGTTAAGAAATTAAAAGCAATTACTTTGTTCAACAACTCAACAAGAAAACATATAAATTAGTAAGTACAATGCAGGGAATACTGTTTATTAGGTAAGGCTCAACGACACACATATAATTAATGTTCTTGTGCTATTCTACCCCCTCATCATTATCATGTAGCAAAGGTTTATCATATATCAAACGTCTATGAAGCGTACACTGTGTATTAAAACTGTGTTTTGAATTATTGCTTTTATTGTGTTTAAATTGTGTTTTCAATTGTATGCGTGTTGCTGAAACTGGGGATTAAAAATACACAGTTTTCTTGCACTTAAAGGTTACGTAAATGATGTGATTAGTTTCATGTTTGAAGATGTAGATCGTCCAGGTCAGTAGAGTTATGAGAAGGACTGTTTTGTTGTTGTTGACTGACGTTTCGACAACCTTAGAGGTAGTCATCTTCAGTCCTTCTAAGGTTGACTCTGAAGATGACGACTGCTAAGGTTGTCGAAACGTAAGTCAACAACAACAAAAACAGTCCTCAGGACTCTACTGACCTTGACGATCTACATCTGCAAACATGTAAAGATATTCCCGGGTTCAAACCATTTACTTTATTACGATGATTAGTTTCCGTAGTAAAGGAATCACACAACTTGTTACTGCTTGTCTTGTATCTTCACGTCTGTAGTATTACTTTTTGTATTATTCGTGTATAAATGCAATTATTGCTTCCTATAAAATACATCCAATTGCCTGAAAGGTTTGTACAGTAATTTTCTGGAAAAAATAATTTTTACCAAATTGGTGGTAAATTATGTTATAGAGGACTAAAATTTTTTTAGACAACCTCTCGAAAGAAAATATGTAGTAATTGCTCTACTGCGGTGGGCAATGCATGTAAGCGATGCTCCAACTGTGGACAGCTCATTCCAAAGAGGCCTTCTTCCGTGTCAATACCACAATATTCGACCACGACAAGACAGAAAATGCTGCTGATGAAAAGGGTTAGATATGTGTTCTTTAATGTATCTTAGGGTATTGGAGCAGATGTTAAAATATCAATGTATAATTTGATTGGTTTCGGAATTTGACTTTTTTTGTAGGCTCAGACTCTTCATCAGAACCACGGTTATCATGTGGTGGTAATGTATTATCACCCATCAACCACTGGAGGTCCAACCGTCTGGGATTATGCTGCAACTCCTGGCCTGGCGACAGATTTTATTAGCAGCAGTGGTGTAAATGGAAAATCAGCCAGAAACTTGTTTCAAACTGGGATGAAGAAGTTATGGCAAGATAGAAATGAAGATAGTCAATCTACAGATCTTTCATCTACGAATACTATCCCTGCCTCTACTATCCCTGCCTCTACTATCCCCGCCTCTACTATCCCTGCCTCTACTTCCCCTTCCGTGTCGTTTTCTGTTTCTCCTTCTTTTTCAGCATCTTCATCTGTAACTCTTTGTAGCTCTGTTACAACCTCTCTTCCAGTTAGTAGCGCTGCTTCAACATTCAATCCTATATGCAAAGATCTTCATTTTAATACGATTTCCGCAACTTTCGAATCTTCCTTCCTCTCTGCTGCTACAAATACCAATACAAATGTCGTCACTGATTCTTTTAGCACTAATCCCACTCTAGCCTCTTCCAGTGGATGTACCTCGATCGGCAATTCTTCATCTGTTTCAACCTCTTCTTCCTCTTCTTCAAGCTCCTTCGTCGCTACAACATCTGTGTCTACCATATCTAAAACGACTGCCCCATCTGTCCCTACAGCAACTTTTAGCACAGGTCAGGAATAGTGTACATAGGTATTAGCATTAGAATGGTTGATTTTTTTAGTTTCTTAGAAGTTTTTTAGGTTGTCGCAAAACAAGTTCGATCTTTTGTTGATTAATTTTGTCATCAACATGGAACACATTTCACAACAATAAGCATGTCCAAACACACATGACTACTTTCAGCTTTAAAATGTTAAAACTTGATTTGGCTCTTTGGCAGCTACGTACATGCCGATGATGCGTAGCAATATTTCTTCTGTCATAAAGAGTGATCAACGAAGCAAATGGCTATGTCTTGAATTTAAATTGTTTCATGTACACTTAGGAACTGTTGTAGCATTGGCCAACGAGAATGGTGTAGTGTGTGGTTTTGGATGTGTCTCAGGAATGTCGAAGGTGCATAATCGGCCCGTGAATCCCGGCTACCTATCTGTCTTTTTTACTAGTGTGGTACCGGGGAAAACAGTTGCTCCACCATTTCCTGGTCCATTCGACGAAGATGTCGTAAGACCTGGCGAGTCTTACATTTGGCCAGTTGACAGAATGTTTGTTGCTGGACCAGATGATTTTACTCACAATATATAGCTACGTAAATCTTCTGCATTTTTTTTCTATGTGGATTTTATTATTTTCGTAAAGAAACTTCCTTGTATATGTATATTATAGTAAATTTTCTATTTTTGTGCCTGATCTTTGAGTGGAAATATTTTTGTTTAATATCATTGTATTATAAAAGAACAGATTTTATATTATGCGCGTCATATCACGTAAGAAGTCCAAATAAAAATTTCCGAGTCGTGAAATAAGACATTTATAACTACTTTGAACTTCACACTTTTGTACTGCAGAGGATTCTCTTGTAAATTATTTCTTAAAGTTTTCACACGGTATATCAATGAATGGAAAATGGCGATTTTGATGGAATAAAAGTGTAGGGTAAGGCAGCGTGCTAAAACGTTTATGCATGTTTTACAACAGTGGAATGAACATGAGCAAAGACTTTAGTTTCTCTTACTAAAATGTTTACAAAAACAAAGACATCGTGGAATTTTTATTCAATTCTTCATTTGTTCTTATTTGAGTTAAATATTTTTTAAGTTTACGTTTATGCGGATGCTTATGTCATGTTCTTTAGAAATCAGCCAATAGTGAAAGATTTAATGCCTGATGATATTATTGTGCAGATTTCACTGTTACACTTTACGTTGAATTTCCAAAAACAATAACTTGAATGCTAGTTGCAACATAGATATATAGTTTATAACCAAATGAAATGAGATGCACTTTCTCACGTAAAAATTGACGTATGAAAAATATCTGTAGTCGCAGCCTAATGACAGAGCATGAGAAAATACAACAATAGATTAAATACTAAATATATGTTCTACTTCATAGATCATACACTCATTCTTTCATAATTGCATTAAAAATATTCCAAAATAAATAGATTAGAAAATAAAATTTGCGATATGTCTTAGAACAATTAGAGCTCATTTATTATCTAAAATATTTATGTAACACACGTACACGATTTTATTCAAGTGTTGTTCACCTATTAATCCCAAAAATAAGATGATTTAAAAGTTTTTCTATGGAGATGCATAATAAATTCAGAAAAAGCGTCAACTGTTGCGTCAAAAAACACTAAGACGCCAACAACCAACGAACTATATTCCAGGTGTATCAAAAAAGTAGACTCTTGGAAAAGTTTCTCTAAAATAAGACACGCATGTGTATTTTAACGTTCTCTGGTACAGCTGGTAATGATTTATTTGCAAATTGAATAAAGTACAATATGAGATTAAGAAGCCAATTCCTAAGGTAAGTGAAATGCGAAAAAGCAAAAAAAATTCAAGTGTTTTAAAGATCTTGCGTTGGCCAGCGCTTGCCCTCAAATTGCTTACAATTAAGATAGCTTGCACAACCTCTTCCATATTTTGACTCAAGATAATTAAATTGTCTTTCAATGAAAATTTTTCGTGAGCAAGGCCTGTTTTGAAGGACTTTTACCAGCAGATATTTCACTGCTATAACATTTTGCATTTTGAAACTTTCTTTCCAGCTGTACTGTACCGCGCCTCTTGTAAGAACTTTTACCATAATATACTTTTGATACATTCTTACTATACACACGATATATAAGCAATACACGTTATATAGGCTATGCACACTATACACACTATATACACTATATAGGCTATATACACTATATACACTATATAGGCTATATACACTATATGGACTATATAGGCTATATACACTATATACACTATATAGGCTTTGCACACTATATACACTATATAGGCTGTATACACTATGTACACAATGCATAGGCTGTAAACAGTAAGTGTTTTCGCCAACGTCACAACGACGTCACAACGACGTCACAAGTTTCTACTGTCCGCTATTATATAGACGGAGTGTAACACAAAAGAAGAAACAATGGAAACATAAAAGTTAGATCATAACGTATAGTAAGAATATTGTGTTTAATATACAGTTTATAACATACATCAAACGACTTTTTCTGCATACGGCATTCCCATATCATACCTTGACGTTCTATAAAGCAATTGGTGACGTATTACTTGTCATTCATCGTAGAAAAACCGGTTAAGGCTGCTTTCATGGAGTTAAGTACCAATTGCACAATTTATTAACCAAATTTAAAACAGAAATGTCTACAATCTTGATGAAACATGTTTTCAATCACTTTTGTTAACAACTTATAACAGCTGCAAAAGGTGAATGGCTTCATTACATCCAGGGTGTCTGAGATATAGATTTGTACGTAGTAACCATTTTCTTGAGAAGTATGTACTGGAATTGAACCAGTATACCAGCTAGTGGCTGGTAGCCATTCATAGCTTTTTTGGTTATGTTAGTGAGAATGAGCGACTGTTAAATCAATAAATCTATCACAGAGGAATCAGAAATCTAAATATCAAGGAAAAAGACAATTTGTGTTGCGAAAAAGGGCAATTTGTAGATCATAGATTGTTGCAAAATAAGCTGTTTGCACTGAACAACTACAAATGCGTGTTTCTTCTTAGATGTATATACTTGCAAGTGTATTTGCATACATTTTATTTACAAAAAGAGCAACATGCAAATAATTTTCTATTTATAAAAATTGCACACAAAAATATGATAGCACAGCTTTCAGCAACAAAATACTACGAATTATATGCATCTTCTTCTTCAACATCTTCATAAACGTCATCTTCACGAACGTCATCTTCATCGCTACAGTCTGATTCACTGTCACTACCGTATACGTTGACTATGGACTGTTCTAAGTCGTGAAAGTATTGAAAACCTTTTTTCAACTGCACTCTGGCAAATGCAATTCCGCAGTTTGTGATGGCGAGACGACCATGCAGAGTCTTCATTGTGTCTTTTCGCACACAATAGCGATGTTTATATTCATCTAGAAGAAAGCTCTATAAAACAAACATAATAATGTCAATAAGTATGTTCGTATTTTAAAAGATTGGTGTCATTTTCACTACTTATCTGACCTCTGTTTCAAGGAAAGAATAGTCATCAGATTCATCAACATTATTTGTAAATACTAAAAAATTAATTGCAAAATATGTTAAACGCATGTACACATGGCCTACTTAAGTAGGCCATGGTACATTACATTCCACAGTATATAAATACGCAACCTTTAAGCTTGTTTTAACATAATACGAACATTTATCTGTATACCTATCCTATCTTTAATCTTCTCTTTTCTTTCACAAAGGAGAGGCAAAACGTTTTCCAAATAATAAATCATATAATTTTTCATCTCCATGTTCAGAAGTGCTTTTTCCTCTTCCAATCTTTTAACTAACATGTACTTATCGACAATTTGTGCCTTGAAACGCACAGGTATATCTAAATATTGTTAAGTAAAATAGTTGAAACTAAAAGCGAGCATGGACGTCACAATATACATAGAACTATATTTGCAATTCTTTTACACACCAGGTGAAGTCGTACTATCTATGTCACACTGGTTAAACGACCAAACAAAATATCCAGACATGACTTCTTCCGCACTTGTCGTAGGAAGACCACACAGACTTGAGAGGCAATTTAACTCTTCTACGGTGGATGTTATTTCGGACTTCTCTTTAGCGCATTTCTTTCTCATGGAAGATCTTCGTTTGCTAGAATCTACAGTACGTACATGTATAATATACGTAACAACGACAAATCGCAATTTTACAGCAATTTGGCAAAATGCTTTGAAATAATTCGGCACAAAATAAGTGTAGGGTGGCCCATAAATATAAGTCTACATATTTCTACGAGGATGGTGTAGATGGTATTTACCCGTTTACTTTTAGATAAAGCACAATTTATCTCGAATAAAACTGTTCCATATTTTGCATTTTGTGTCGCCTACATCTAAAATCTAACTCACTTAGATTTTGCAACAAACTTTAAAATAATGCTTACAGTTACTCATAAAACCCCAACAAAACTCACCAGCAAGAGAAGTTATTTCTTTTGTGCGTCTAGTGACTGAAAATACAACATTTCTAATCTCTTCTGCAGCTTTGCTACTGTCGATTTTGCCAGCTGCGACTTTCCTTGCTCAAGAAGCTGCTCCTCTGTCACATGTCCATCTAAAAGCTGTCTTTTCAATTCCAGCAATCTTGTTGCATTTCGTTCAAGTTGTTTCACTTTGTTTTGAGCGTCATGAACGAAACGCCTATCACCCAATAATGTCTGCGTTTGATCATCGTTGGCTCTTACAAAATTCTCCAAATGTTGAGCATTTTCAACAGTTTGATGCAAAGGAAGAACTCTTCGGCGGCACCTTTCAACGAAGAAACTCCAATTTGTTGTTCTAAAGAAACAACAAAAAATATTAATTTATCTACGTAATTACTAAGCACTCCATACAATACTGTATAGCTATATATTTTCCGGGGGTAAAATGAATTGTTAAAAATAACAATTGCCAAACATAAAAATTTGAGCCAGGCCAAGAATTATTTCATATAGTTTCGTTTTAAATGATGTTTGAACAAAAATCAACCATAAGTACAGAACTGTTCAATACTAAACCATGTTTCCAAAAATATTTGAAAGTAAACAATGTTATAACAGAGGTATACCTCTCGCAAATTGTTGAACTTCTTCTTTCCACTGCATTATCGAGTCGTCCAAGTCAGAATCCTGGACATTAAGTTCGCTTCTTAACTTTACAAAATCGTCCCTGGCAGATGAAAGTTTCCTTTCGGTCTTCGAAATACAAGTACACATAATGAAAAACAGTGAAAAATAATCATATTAGCGCAGTAAACGTATTGGGTTCAAACAAGACCTATACACAACTATGAACTGTAAATTCATTTCATATTATACACGTACGTAGCTATAATTTTGACAATTAACTGAAGATATATACAACGTGTAACCTTTTTCATTCGAATAACAAGTGATTTTGCCAAGTTTAAAATTTTTCGCTTGTTCCAACTCAGAAGATGTTCAGTAATGCATTCTTCTCGTCCTTAATACGTACAACCATTAATGCGCACATTAGTTCGTGGACTTAATCGACCAAAATACCTGAGTGGATATACAGATAAGAAAATAATACTCACCGGAGGCCGTCATATTTTTAGTAGTCGAGCCAAGTCTTGACAAATACGAATTTATTTGCTCAACTTCTTCGCCAGCAGTTGCTGCCGCACCACTTTGCCATCTTCCGCTCCAAATAACCTAAAAAAGTGTGAAAAGAATCATCTATTCAAGACAACCCATTTCAGATTTATGTAACCACGGTTTAGTTACGTGAAATACAGTATTATTACAGTTTGAAAAAGCACGCTTTGTCTCATAAAATCTTTAATAGAGCATTATCGTCGGCGTATGTGGTATTTAGCTTACGAGTTATTGGGTAAACAATCATAACTTACGTATGTAACGTACCTGACATGACCAACTGTGTGATTTCCCATGCATTATAGACAGTGCTGGTGCAATATTTTTTAGCGCATTTTGATTTTCTTCCGATGTAACACGTAGAGCCCAAGGCCAATATTTGCATATAATATCTTCCCACATATATTTAACTTTATGTGGTTGTAAAAAATTCATATGCAAGTAGTGAGCATAGCCATAAATTTCTCCTCTGAACATGTTCAAAGTAGCTTGAGCAATCGAGTGCCTGCATCCAGCAACTTCAAGTCCAGTCTCGTCTTGGTTTTTCTTTGATTTGGAGACCATTTTTGCAGCTTTCCAATGGGTGTCGCCACAAGAATTATCTTCATTCTATAAAAAATGCTTTAACCTAATAATAGATTACTACCTTTCAATCCTACTTCATAACACATTACCTGAATTGACTTTGAACCAAGACTTTTTAAATGAGAGTCCACAAAACTATTGTTTGCAATCAATACATCACGATAATAACACTGGACTGGACCCCTGTGGTAAAAGTAAGTTATCAATTTAGAACACAAGCACTCATAAACTCAACAATGCAGGTAAAGAATCAAACATGAGCAGTAGGTCTTTTTCTTGGATTTGTTAAATTGGTTCAATTTATTAAAACATAAAAGTATCTGAATCGTTTACAAAGGGTAATTCCATTTTACAAGTTTGAGAATTCGCCATCCAATATCACAAACCTTGGTACTTTGCTGAATCTGTACACTTTTGATTTCCATCAATATGACATGAATGTTGATCAATACTACAAGGAGGGCAATTTTTCCATGTCTGCTCATGAAGAAGGTCAATTTCATGTTGGCAATAGCTCCATTCAGCAAATGATTTTCTGAATGTGACTGAATTGATAACATTTTCCTAGTGAAACCAGTTCCAAATCAAAACATAGCACAATTATATACTATTTGTTGATTATGCAAAACCCACTGTACTATAATATAGTTCTCATACTTCAAACATACACATTATATGAAGCCTACAAAATTGACATGTGCTTGTTACAAATTTTAAACAAATTTTCCTTGACTTCCCAGAATTTACCAAAATTCACAGAAAGAAATGATCATAAAGGATTATTTTGAAATCAAGATTTACGTCTTGTAGCTTTTGGTTTGCAAGACAAAAAATATACACAAAGTAAAAAGCACACTAACAAAGATATGTAGATAGCATAAAAAATAATCACCCTTCCTCTAGAGCTGGAAATATCTTCCAAACTTCTTACAAAAGCAGATTGTGATGACCCAGGCATCCTCTTTCTAAATGCATCCCACAAATTAAAGACATCTTGACTAAATATGTAATGAAAATTTTCAGGGCTTCCAGGCCACCAGCCACTCTCAATTATACTGTCAACAGAAATTGGTGACCACTTCCATTGACAAGATGAGCAATGTACAGTGAACCAATTAAGATCAAATCGTCCTGTTGAAGACAAAATATAATCAAGAATAACCAGTACAGTGCTCAAAATATGTGCTTCAAAGAAATCAAATCCTGGGGTTTCATAAGAAGCCAGCAACTTCATCAATGATTTGAAGTTTTTAGTTTCAATCTAAAGTCTATGAATTAGTGTATAATCCAACCTGCTGCCTATGTACTTTTCTAAAGGTGACTAAGATAATGAGCCCCTAACAAATCCGATTTTAATAAGATGCATCATATGTACATCCATATATCAAAAATTGTTATTTGGACTCTGTAAAAAATTGCATAAGGACATTTTCACCTTCACAAGTGATCATAATCACAAGAGAGCTGTTGGTAGTTTTGATGATAGGTTCATTACACAACTGACATGATGATGGGTAAAGGATGGGACATGATCGATCTACAAAGATAACAGCATCATCACAGAAAACATTTCTCTCATATCGGGCACAACAAAAAACAAATATTTATATAAAATTAATAGTATGTACATTATACTTACCAATGCTGCAAATCTTTCCATCAGATGAAATGGATTGTGTTGGCTTGATATATTGAAAATAACCATCCAACCACACTTCTCGATCATGGAGAGGATTATTCTCATGGACATCATCATCGCATTCTCGACAAATATATCTCAACACACCACATTGTCTGCATCTCAGTACAGCTTCATTTTCATTGCATCTAGAACACTTCATAGCAGATAAAGGAGGAGCAAATGATGACACAGTGACATTGAATATTTTTTCCCTCATACTTTCCCAATTTTCTTCTCGATTTTCCATTCTTTTTTGCCAAGCAGATGGCCCAGTATCCACTTCTCCAATAACCAACTGACAGCTTTCAAGAATGGCTTCAAGATCTAAAATGAAAATGAAATGATTTTATGACGTAAAGCTGTTTCTTTTTCTATTTTTTTTTTCTAAAATATGACACAATTATAAAAAGAGCACATTGAAGTGTTAAAAGCACAGTCACATGTGTATAAAAATATAAAAAACTATGTATAGATGCAGTGGCCTGGACAGCACAAAAGTTTTGCTTCTGTTATGTAAAGTTGAGATGTAAGAAGTATTATCAATAACCTCTTTCAGTAACATTGTCATCACATAACATTTCCTGTGGAACATCACGTAAATCTGACGATGTTGTAGGCATTTCCTCATCTATGATAGTGATAACAACAAGTAAGATAAAAATGTAACATACAAGTTACACAAAAATCTAAAATGCTTCTATTTCTTTGATAAAAGTATTATTTCCCCAGCACACACCTCTTTGTGTATTTCTATTGCTCGGAGTGCTTTGCCTCGGCTTATGAATAATCCGTTGGCCATCTTCGTTTCTTTGAAGAACTATATCTCTACTGGCATTTTTCTTCTTAATAGTTTTACTTCTACTTCGAACACCTTGATTTGTAATAGCATTGACATTGCTTATTGCAGACAGCAGCTGCTCATCAATCGTTGGTTTTCTCAGCTTACTGCGTTTATGAGACATGTGTGATAGCATAAATAAGAGGTGAAACCCCGATGTGTTTAATATTTCATAAAAATACTGATACAGGGTACTGTAAAATATCTTCGCTCCAATAACAAAACAAAATGGCGCGCGCTAAGTTTTTTGGTTTTTTCATTTCGGCAACTGGCAAAGGAGCCACTCATGTCACAGGCCTGTTTTTTGAATGGACGTTTCAAATTGACTTATAGAGTCAATTTTAGGGTATTTTCACAATTAGCGTATAGAGTTAATTTAAGGAAGAGACTGGGTTGTCCTGCACGATACGCTAACCAATGAATGCTCGCAAATTGATCAATTTAAACCAATCAAAATCGGTATATGGACCCAAATCCTGCGGAAATTTTAAAGCACTGAAGTGTTATAATTTAAGGAATACCCACGGAATTTTTTGAAAGTGACACGTTAATACGTTAGTCGCCCGACTTAGTTGACTAAGTTTAAATCCGCCTCTGGAACCTCCTTGATTTTCGATTTGTTATGCTTAAGCGGAAGCGATAAATGATGGGTATGTCGATATGTCTGTTTATTGTTTCGTTGTCTTTACTGTACCAAGCTTCTTTAAATTCGCGTGCGTGTTTAGTCTGTGCGCGTCCGAGTACTTTAGTTTCTGTCCAGTCGAATGTGTGGTTGTTTCCGTGGGTATGTTCTGCCGGTAGTGAGTTCGGATCTCGTCGTTTTATGGCGTTTTTGTGTTCTGTGAGTCTTGTTTCAATTTTCTTAGATGTTTGTCCTATGTATTGCTTTGAACAGTCTTTACATGTATCATGTAGATCGCGTCAGTTGTATCATGAATTGTTGTTTTGTCTTTATGTTTGGTGAAACATGATTTGAGTTTTTGTGTAGGTTTGTGGGCGACGAAAGCTCAATAAAAAAGAACTTAAAATCCGGAGAAACGTTTATCTTTTATGTATTCAATGCCTGGATTACAAATTTTCAAACTTTTAAATACTTCTATATATATCTATAATTCTTGTTAACTTCCTTATTAGTCTGAAGATGTCTAAGTCAAGACGAAACGTCACTATTTTAAAAAATTTCACAAAACCAAATTGTTTATGACCATTTTCAAAATTATTTGTTGGTCTCTAATATTTATATTGAGAATCCGTTTCCCGCCTGGCACTTCATTAGCAACAATATTGATAGGATAGATTTAGATTTGAGGACGCGACGTCTAAGACGACGTGAGTTGACCGAGCTGCGTCGACAACCCCGTCGTCACCGTCGTCTTTCATGTAAAGAGTGGCAGCACACTATTCTTGACATTACTCGACCCAATACCCCACGCCACCTATATACTGGTGAAATCTCGATTTGTGTCTGTCTGTCTGTTAACAATTCTGGGGGATTTTTGCGGAATGAGGGGAGCGCACAATCACAATAAGGTAGAACCTTTCGGAACTTCTGTAAGTTTCTATTTGATTTTAAATGTCTGGAATCCAAATAGATATGCCGCTTAAACAACGTAATACAGTAGATACTAAAATCGAGTGATCACCGTTATCAATTATACATATATCGTTTGCCGAAAAACACATGAAATGGATTCACCGTGCCGTATTTAGCCGGTCGGTTCACATTTTTATCTTCCACTCTTTGGTCACACGGTGAGAAAAATGTTGTGTAAGCATGTGTTTGTTTTCGTTGGAGCTTTTATTATTACTTGAAACATCGTTGTGGTATAACAAAACGTCAAAAATAATTCAAACGTATGGTGCGAGTTCAACCATGAAATATGAATTATGAATACGATGAAACGTTTGCTCTTTGCGATAACTATACATCATTTTATCGCAGTCGCACAGTATTATCGCAAATAAGGTTCTATCGAAATGTTATAAAGGAAATAATGGAAACAAAACTACAGTTTTATAATATTGTACGTTTCTACGTTTGTAAACATACGTTCGATTAATCGGTTGAGCATACTTTTCATCAAAAAGTATCATACTTTTCATCAAAAAGCATTTTAAACACAAATTTGTTGGAGATATAAACATGTTATCAAAAAATTGTTTTCGTTCGAAATGGTAACAGGGGCGGATCTAGGCCATGGCGAAAGTGGCTTGAGCCACGGTCAGAATTCTGCCACTTAAGTTTTTCCATGGTTGACTTTTTCATGATTAAAAATTTTGCTCAAATACAGCAAAATTCGATCAAAAGCAAAAATTGAATGAATTTTGTAATTTTATTGTCAAAAATTTGTGTTAACAGAACAAAAACTTCAAATTAAACGTCTTGTTAAAATAGTATTATCATCCAGTTAAACTCTGAACTGTAAAATCACCGAAAGCGTCTCGAATCTTGCCGAATACGCCATGAATATGCTCGGAATATGTTCGTAAATTCGAACCTGCAATCTCAGAATGAAGAGCCACGGTCAGCGTTCAGAAAATTTCGCAATAGTTGCTAAATATAGTAACCTTCAGCCACGGTGCAGCGTTGCAAGCCAATCACAGGAACGTTTTGGTCATGTGCGCCACGGTGAGCCACGGTGAATGTATTTTGATTGCGCAATAAATACAAGTCATATGCAATTGCTCGGTTCTTGTCGACTTGAAAAAACGCTACTTCTAGTTCTACTCAGCGATTAGGATCAATGGAAACTTCTAAAAAGATCGATGTTCTTGAAAAGCTCGTCCAAACCTTTCAGAAAGAGAACGCTTGCGAAATTATTTCTGGTGAATTGTCTAACTTGAGACAACACTGTGTTAAAATAATCAACGAGGAAAGGCTTCGTCGTATAAATTCTACTGGCGATATTATGCTACGAACTTGTTTATTTTCAAAATGCAGTTCCTGAAAGCCAAATTGAAAGATCAGGCCCCAATGTCCCTGTTAGGTAAGAATTTACATGTATTGGGGTATTAATTTATATTTTTATTTACGTTTGACATCTTGGCCTGAAATATATGATCAATCCGTTAATTTTCAGCTATTCATATTTCGTGTATCATGTAAAATATATGTCTAAAGCTGTCATTATTTTGCATACTCAGTCTGTCTAATGTACAGCCTAAATAATTTTAATTGTTACTGTCTGTTAAAAAAAATGTTTTACTTCAATATTAGTAAAAGCTAGTCCTTTTTAAAATTTAACCCAATCAATAATGTATTATCCTTGTATTCCTGGCATTTTATGTTATTCCCTGATTAAAGAAACTAACATATCATTTTGAATAACTGTTACTTTCTTTCACGGGTTATATAGAATATTGATGCTATAGTAGATGAAATCAATAAGTTGTCTGAATCCTGTTCGACATGCCTAGACTAGTTCCAAATCTTAGACTACCTGCCTGTGACTTTGACTTTATCATGATGTTACCAAATTAACACAAAGACAAAATAACTTTCTCAATTTCAATATTATTAGTCTATCTTTAACTGTATTGGTTACCCTTATTTATTCTAATGTCAGAGTCAGTCTAGCAAATTTGTTTCCAGGTATAGCTTGGTATAACAAAGCAGCCATTGATACTTAAATACTAATTTTTCTTTTAGTACTTTAGCCAATGGGAATTGTCTGTTCAATGCATGTTCTATTGCATTAGTTGGGAATGAGACTCTCTCTATTTACTTGAGATTCCTAACTAGTGTTGAAATGTTTGAAAATGCAAAATACTATTCTACCCATCCTGTCATCGAGTCCCAGCATAACGATTGTTGGATAAACATCTTTGCTGCTGTTGGAAGAAGACCACCTTTGAACATTGCTTTTATTAGTCTTGCCATCTTTATGGCTGTTAGCAAAAGCATCCTTGCTGCTTTTCGAAAAAGAGCATTTGATGGGGAAACAATGATGGGGAATTATATTTTTGCAGTGAACTGTCTTTTGGTTATTCACTGCAAAAATGACATGCGTCATCTTTCTCTCACTCCTGCGGCAACAATTCTGTGTAAGTAAAATTTTTATTTTTCTATCCGAACAGAATTAAGAAAATGGCGATATTAGAATTTTTTTTAGATGAGATTATAGACCCCCCTAGCGTTGCCTCGCGCCGAAGGCGCTTATTACGTCACAGGGCCACGGTCAGCCCAGAAGCTGGATCCGCCCCTGGGTAATGATTTTATCTTTAAAATTATTTGAAACGTGAAATTAAATGAGATGTAAAGCACGGGAGCTATTTTTTGCCGGAAATCAACCTTCGACTTTCAGAACGCGTGCCTTTGTTTGCATGTCTTCCAAATAAGGTATGGCACGTTTGACTAAGGCCCGTTAACTCGGTCCGATTTTGTTGGATCCTAAAAACGGATCGTGTGAGCACATATAAAGTTAATCTCCGACAGTCGGATCCATCAATGTAAAAAAGAGGATAGAAATAGAACTTGTTCTATTCTCATCTGACTGACAAGACCAGAGGAAGCCCACTAGCCAAATTACATATATTTGAAAAAGACTTGGAAACAAGAAGAAACCACGCAAATATATCGATAAATTACTGGACAACACAAATGGCTGCTCTCAAAATTATAAATATCTAAACGTATCTAAATATCAACAAAACTATCTGACCGTCTGAACAGGTAATCAAAAGACGGAACCGAAACAATCGGATATGACAAATCGGAACGTGTAAACCAGCCTTCAGATAAAAAGAAAACTCTAAACATGACGAAATAAACCTTGCCAACGCAAAGCTAAAAGTTAGAGACACGCATGTAAAATTTCTTTGTCTATCATTCTAATCACCCAATCATAACGTATGTATGAAACCACCTAGAATGCTGTACACGGAGATGGTTCCAAGGGGTGTGACTACGGTCTGAACCGTGCAATTTTTACCACACAAGGGGCCGGGGCAGCACTCCCCCTTTGCGACAGCAACTTCTAGTTTAGATTATAAGAGAAGACGACGACGACGAGTTTTTACGAAAAAAGAATGTCATCTTTTATACGATTTTACTGAGTCATTTAGCATTTGTTTCCACAGTTGCGGATTATTCAAGATATTATGGAGACAAAAAACAACACTTTAGTTGAGAAAAATCCTTGGTTTGTACGAATAGAAAAACATAATATATTTCTTTAGGCTTACATTCAATTTTTTTATCATACTGCTATTTCATGGCATTTCAATTTCAATAATACAGTTTGAATTGTAGATTTGCTTATATTGATTGTATGA